TAGGCGCGGGACTCGAAGCTTGTTGTCATGCAAAACTTGCTTGACATGGTGGAGCTCTGCAGCTAGGTGTTTACTGTCACAGATCCCTCGTGCTCTCTGAAACAAAGATTTATCCACGGTAGCTAACTGTGAAGGGTGGTGGTGAGAATCACCGTTTAAATATCTATCTGTATGGGTCTTTTTTCTATACACAGTATGGCTCAAGGTGTTATCAGGATTCCGAATTACTAACACATCTAGAAAAGCTAAGGAATTGTTTGCCTCTAACTCCATTGTGAACTGAATTTTAGAATTTATAGAGTTAAGATGGTCTAAAAGCATGAAAGTAGGTAAGGCAGCCGGATATGATAGAGTTTCACTCGAAATGCTAAGGGCTGGAGAGGACGTGGTGGCAGGCCTGCTGTACACCTTGTTTAATTTATGTTGGGAACTAAAGCGGGTACCGGGAGACTGGTGCAAAGCCGTGATAGTCCCAATATATAAGGGAAAAGGGTCACAGCAGGACTGTAAAAACTACCGTGGTATCAGCCTTCTTAGCATTGTGGGAAAACTGTATGCTAAGGTACTAATTGAAAGAGTTATGAAAGAAACTGATGAAAAAATTTGGGATGTGCAAGCGGGATTTAGAAAGGGAATGGGGTGTACAGATCAAATCTTTTCCATGCGCATGATCGCGGAGAAGTTTTTGGCGAAAAACCAAAAAGTTTTTTGTGCGTTCATGGACTTGGAAAAGGCTTATGACAGAGTGGACAGGGATGTGTTATGGCAAACGCTGAACGCATTTAGGTTGAGCGCTGGTTTGATACAGGCATTAAAGTCTCTGTATAGGGACTCGAGTGTTTGTGTTAGAATCAACGGGGTCTACTCGGACTGGTTTGGCATCCATAAAGGTGTCAGACAGGGCTGTGTAGCTTCCCCGTGGCTGTTCAACCTATTTATGGACAGCTGTTTGGAAAATTTGAAAGTTGAAGAATGCGGGTTAAGAATGGGTGAGTTAACCATCAAATGCCTTTTGTACACCGATGATCAAGTCATACTTGCGTCGTCGGCGGCCGAGTTGCAAATGATGGTTACATTAATGAACAGGTCATTAAAAGAAAGGGGAATGAAAGTGAACGCAAGTAAGACGAAAGTGATGGTTTTTGAAAGAGATGAAAGCAAAACGGTATGTGAAATAAGAATAGAAGGAGAGTTAATTGAGCAAGTGGATGAGTTCGTATATTTGGGATGTGTATTCAGCAGGGATGGGAGATATGATAAGGATATTGAACGACGAGTGAATGCAGGAAATAAAGTAAATGGGGCTCTACACTCTATTGTGAAAAGTCAGAATGTGTCAAAAAAGGCAACGTATGGCAATTCACAGTGCTGTATTAGTCCCTACTTTAACGTATGGTAGTGAAAGTTGGGTGTGGCAGAAGAAGCACGAGAGTAGAATAAATGCAGTAGAAATGCGGTCGCTAAGGAGTATGTTAGGGCTGAATCTGAGTGACAGGGTGAGAAACTGTGTGATAACAGAAGAGTGTGGTTTGCAAGATGATGCGGTGACCAGGATTAAGAAAGGAATGCTTCGGTGGTTTGGTCATGTAGAAAGAATGAATGCGGAAAGACTGACAAAGCAAATATATGTTGCAGAAGTGAATGGAAGAGTCGGAAAGGGACGTCCTAGGCGGAAGTTTGTCGACCAAATTGGCGATATACTAAAAATGGGCCAAATTAAGAGTACCCTTAACCGACAAGCATGTATGCGTAGGTATATGGATGTGGAAGAGGCGAGAAAGGTATGTCAGGATCGTGCTAAATGGAAGTCTGTAGTCTCTGCCTACCCCTCTGGGTGACAGGCGTGAGTGTTTATGTTTTTTTTATGTTTTATGGTCTAAAAATGCAGTTACTTTACCTAAAGGTAGAATTGTGAAAGTGTCGTCTACATACGCGGCTAAGGTGAAGCTGGCAGCATCTGGGAAGAGGGACGCTGCCCATGTAGTTAGAGTTGTTCGCTTCGCGAAAGCGGACTACAAAAAACAAGTAACCATTTTCTGTAAGACATCAGGAGGATAGAACAGAATCTAAAATGACAGTATGAAACCGTAAGAAACAGAAATAAAAATCTCTGTCCCAGTTACAGTGGGCTAAAATGGAATGCTACCCAGATAAGGAGTCAGTAAATGTTACTGAAAATTGCGCAGAAATTAATGTTCAGGCCTTGCTTGATGACAGTAAAACGATTGCTGATGCATTTGGGTGAAGTTTTGGAAATGCTGAGTGAAGAGAAAAGAAACTCACTGGAAATTGCCTCGAAAGCAATCCAAGCCTTTCATGAAATAAACCCTGGAGATGTTGCTTCCTGCGGAACCTCATTCAGATCCAGTTTCCAAAGAACCTACTTATGAAGACTCTGCAGATGATTCTTATTTATCTTCTGGTGAAGAACTAACACATTCAGATTAGCCGGTGTCATTTTATTAAAAAATTATCAGTGATGTTTGCATTATGTATTATTAAAATTTCTACAATATATATTTTTTCACAAACACATTGTTTTAAATGGCAAAAATATCATAATCTAGCTAGATATAAAAATAGGAACTAATTAGAGCACAAAAATAATTTTGACCGCCCAGATCGTCCAAATACCCCACTGTGCACCGCCGAGCAGGTGGTAAATCACCACATAAAATTGCAATTAACAATTTCATTGGTGCCGGCGAGGATATCGGAGACTTTTAATATCCTACATAATTATTTTCATTATAAATTGATAAATTGCACACGCAAGCTAAATAAAACTTTATCGCTGCGCGTGAGTGTCCGTATTACATAGCATCTTATCCGCTTCCTACGTCACGGTGGACTTCACGTGGTTACTAAGGGCTGTCAATGTAGAGTAAAAAAATACATTGCGAAATGTTAATCAAGTTACTTAGGTGAAGTACCTGTTATGACTATGATCAACTGACCATATTTTCGAACCTATGTGAATTCTGCGATGCCCAACGCATGCAACTTTCAAGGCCATTCGTCGAGCATCGCTATAATTGGCTTGGAAGAAATAGTTAGATAGTGTAAATCAATAAATAAACCTGAAATACGATTCCTAACAGAAATGTGATCGTATTATACTCAGTTAAAAACTTGTTAGTAAACCAAGTTTAAAATTCAGTATTTTGTGTTATTATAACTTAAAAAAAATTAATTACAAAAGACAAGTATAGGTATGTAAGTAGATACTTGTATAGTGAAGTGAATTTCAAATAAGTTTTGTAATAAAGTACTTAGGTATTATTTCTGTAGATAAATTATTAGTTAATTATTTTATGCTATAAGTACCTATGTAACATAAAACATGAAATAAATTCAACTTTCATAACTTCTTACTAAAATCTTTCGGTAAGAATGGTATATCTGAAATCTTTTGTTGGTCCATCCATTCATCCACGCAACAATTATAGTAGGAATGACGTTTTGCCATTATAATTTATCAAAAAGGTAATATAAATTAAATATATTTTTTAATTATATTAATACTTTTTTACATCTATTTTATCCTACAATTAAATATAGATACTAAACACTAAACAAAAACTATTTCAACAAGTATTTACAAAAAACTATTTACGTAAATAACGTTAAAAAACTTTAACATTCAATCGCCTACAATACAACGCCCTAGCTTCGACTGCGCATGAAGCCTCGCGATTGTAAGTACTTAATTATTTCATGCAGGTAGTAAGAGTGACAGAGGCCTGGTTCGGGGGCTATTTCACAATACGAGGGCAGTTCAGATTCTATTACGCCGGTACCAATGACGTTGTTAATAGGGTGTTACTCCCATTTTCAGTTTTTTAAATGAATCCTAGAATGATAATGAACAACTATAATTTTATATAATTTTTTAACCCAAATAATGCCATAAAAATTACTTTTAATCTATCGTTTTAAATTTTCGCGTCAAAACGCTAGCCGCCATGCTGTTCAACTCGTGATGTCACTATCCTAGAACTTTGCCGATTTTGCAAAGGAATAAGATACTTTTTAATGTTTAATAATAAGTTATCATCTACATCACTGTTGTGTTGTGCCTGAATGCAAAAATACGAGCATAAGAACGCCGGGAAAGTTATGGATTCAAGTTTCAAATGATTTAAATATAAGAAATACTTGGTTAAAACTGGCAAGAAGATACCCGAATACATTGTCTACAAAAACTAGACTCTTCTTCTGTGAAAATCATTTTGATGTAAGTTTGACTTATATTTAACTATCGTTTATACGAAACAACACATCATGAGGTTATAGGTATTGCAAGTCAAATTTTGTAATAGATTACGTTAACTTAGATATTACAACTAATGATTGTAATTATAGATTAACTGAACTATGATAGCGACATAAACTATATTATATCAAAATACACTCTGATCTGGTGTTGTGTTTTTATATAAACAAAAGTTGGTAATAGGTAGGTAATAACATTGATGTTTTAACATTCCTCAACTCAGCAGAACATAAATTGGGATTGCATGCAAAAAATTTTGCCACCATCAATTTATTTATCCTTGGTAGATTAGTACTTTCTGCTTTTACGAATTCGTTTTCCATGATGCCTTTTCGGAATAAAACTCAATATTTCTCGTTTACTTTTTACAAAATCTATCATAAATATGTATTTTTTTCATAGTTTTTATATGGTGTAAAATACCCTATTGGGCTATTTTGAAATAGAAAAATATAACGCTTTTTTAAACCATATTTTAATTTATTACAAATTGAGTCCAGAAATCTCCGTCTCCTTTATGTATAATATATGTAATATATTTCTAATATCTTATGGATTTTAATATCAAAGCGTTGTAAGTAAATAAAAAACTAAGTAAAGTACTTATTTTTAATTTCGCAAATACTTCAATCAACTGCGTCAAGTAAATTTATTTTTCAATTAAGTTTATGCAAATGTCGCCTGAATTGTTCATGTCTTAAGCTTATAATTTTGTTTGCCTGTGTCATTTCGCATTTTTAAGCGCTTCACAGGCCTCAGTCTGCTTAAGACCCTCCATAATGTAGAATAAATTCTCGACAGACGCGTCTTCATCATCATCGAACCAGAGTTGGAGCATATTCTTCGCTCTTGCCGCGTCTGTCGCATTCTCCGTCTCGAAAAACTGTATCTCGTCTTGTTTGTAGCCAAGTTTCGAGGCGAGTTTCTTCCAATCGGCAAGTTTCGCGGCGACCAAGTCTAATTGGGCCGGTGTGATCATTGTGATGCGGGAACGTGACGATTTGTCTTCATCTTCGCCGCCGTGGGTAGAATCCGGCACCTGGAAAGTGGTTTTAATGTGTCATCATTGAGGCCCTTTGAGCCTATTGCTCATCGTTAGAGAATCTATGAACCCATTACATTCCGCGTATGTCGTAAGAGTCGTTAAAGTAAAAACCAAGCATTTATGACTTTCGACAGATAACAGAATAACCATTAAGTTATATTCCACTTAAAATACATTGATCGATCACTGGAAACAGCGTTAAAGGTGTGAAACATTCGGTTCTGAGACCGCAAATCCAATTGACGAGCGTGGTGATTACCTCAAACCCTATCTAGCAGCTGACTATTATATTCCGTTAATATTCAGCTGCTGGAAAGGATGACATGTGGAAGCTTCATAGAAGCGTCTTGCAACGCACGCACACGCTTTAATAGGCTGAACCGGTAACAGCTGCTGAATATATGCTTCCCCAATAGATTGTTTCTTTTTTTTTTTTTTTTTTTTATTTGCCTTGTTACCTTTTACCCCCTCCATTTTTTTACTTGTTTTTTGCATCCTCATAGGGGGATATTAGCCATAGTTGCCGCGCTTGGTTATTGCAGTTTATGTATATACAGGAGACGCTGCTGCCTATCTCTTGATTTGTTTCTCTCTGTCGCCTCTTACGACGCCAATTCACGGTTTTCGCCACGTCGGCAGTACAAAATAGCGCGTTATTTTTCTGGATGCTACTGCAGGTTAAACCCGCACGCTTACCCAAACAGTTTTCCCCTTGTTGTGGTGGCGGGGGTAAGGGAGGTTTAGTAGCCATAGCTTGGTCATCCATGGTGAGCTAAGAGGAACATGTCTGGCCCGAGGTGACCACTTCGGATGTGTGTTGGTAGGCTGCAGCGAGAGGGGTGCCCTCTCCCCCTGCCGCTGCAGCGATGCGCCCTTACCTCCGCGACTCTGGCGGGGCCGCACTGAGTGGGCCCTACACTCCGCAGCCAAATCTCAGTTGGTGGCAAGGCCACAGACCAGATCCGCTTCTAGGGTTCGAAAGGCTAGTGCTTCCGAGTGCTCGTGAAGGAGAGGACGGAAGAGTGGTACTCTCCCAAGAGACGCGTCCCCACGGGGCAGTCGGCGCTGGTGAGGACACAGAGTTGTGTGAAAGCGTCCCCGTGGTCTTAACAATATGCGACGAAGGTGGAACCCAATGGGGTTTTAGTCAGTGCATGTAAAATATAATCCCCGTAAGACGAGTATACATAGGCATTTCTCCGTGTAAAAAAGGTGAACACTGCGCTTGTGTGAGTTTGTTGCGAGACACTTGTATAAAACTTTTCGTTCATTCTGTTATTAAGTTAACATGGCCTTTTCCAGAGACTAACACAAAGTTCTAGATCTCAATTGGTCCGACAGAATATGCAGAGGGATGCAAAATCTCCTCGCAGCGCCAGTATAATCAAGCAGATTAGAAAGAACTAGGTCGTAGACAATTCAAGCCACTCTGCGCTGAATGCGATCTATTAGAAAGAGCTGGCACTATCGAGCCCCGGCCCAGAGATGAGAACAGTATTCCATGCGTAGCCGAACCTGCACCTTGTAAAGTTGCAAGCGGTATGCCGACATGAAATTCTGTCCCGCTCTACAAAACACGTAAGGTTATAGAGGTCAATTTGGCCTTCCCCTCAACGATAAGTCGACTGATGAATTCTATTCTATTCTAAAAATATTCTAGAAAAATAATCGTACAAATCGTATGATGTCCGTAGTAGATCTTAGAGATACTTATTCCAAATCTACTTCATGAAAACATTTTTAACTTTTCACATTCAGATTAAAAACAAAATAAAAATGAAATATAATTAATTTACTTGAAGTTTGTGGATTTGTGAAGTCTTACCCTTAGTATGATTATTTTTTGGAAGATTAACAATATACCTGTTCAATGTCGTTAGCATCAGCACCCTTGATGAGATCCGCTTCCATCTGTTCCTCAGTAACCTCTTCCTCGGATGGCTCCTGAAATGAAAAGATATGATAATATCACTACATGAAAGTTAAAAGAAAATTTCTCAGAGACATAACCCCCGTAGGATGAATGATAATGACGACCAAGAAGTGACATACTAATACATCATGTCAATGCTACGGTGCGCACCGATTCGGTGCGTATGGACCTCGCACCATGCGGTTTCTTTATTCTTTCAACACCAAACATATGATTTTGGAAAGGTGAAGGTTTGAAATTAAAGGAGAAAAAGAAACCAAGACTGAGAATGCATGACCAAGGCCAAAGTGCAAGAAAAGAAAAATTTTAATTTCTTTTATAAATAAGATATATTATGAGAATATTTTTGTCATAACTTTAATAAATTTTTAATGGGAACAAAACATGTTATGTGTTTAACATTTCCAGTTTACTCTACTAATAGTCTTGCAGTTTTGGTCTAGGTCCTCTGAATTTGCAAAACCAAGACCCAGACAACAAGTATTTGAACGAGAGCCAGACCAAGGCCGAAAAAGCAACACCGAGACCGCTAGCAAGACTGTCTTGGTCTTGATTTGTTTATCACTACTCATTCTACGTAGATACGGACCAAAATTATTAATTAAAAAGCTGAAGAAACTCCGGGTTAACTTTGACATCGGGATGGAAATCACCTCAGTGCCCCCGCGACCACCAGTGCTGCTAAGTGCACCTGAAACTTCGGAAACTAGAAATATATTAATTACACGATGAAATCTGTTTTATTCATTATTTATATACCTGTTTCGTCGATTTATCGCTGTAATTATTGGACGCTTCCCCGTTGGCATTGTTTGCAGCGGCGTTGGCAGCAACCTCACGGGCAACGCGTTTCACCTGTTTAAACATTATAATTATAATCTCCAACTTAATACAAGTAAATAAGGTCATAGTTTCTGGTCGAAAATAACTTTAAAGCGTGAAAATACAACTATACTCATAAAAATCGAAATCATTTAAGAAAATCTTTCTCTATCTCTTTCTTCACTAAATGAAAATAGAAAGAAACAGGTATAGAGACAAAAAATATTAATTTTAAAGTAAGTTATGATCAACGATTATATGTAGGTAACGCCGTATTTCTTTTAATTGAAAAGGAAAAGTGAACAAGTGTCGCGAACTACTAGTGAAAGTAGCAAATTCTAATTATAAGATGCATTAATTTATTAATAATTTTGTAGACTACCACATGGGTGTTTATGTCGGTTTACATCTTTTATCTTAAATTTGTTGTTTCAGTAAATTTTATAATATATTAAATTTTCAACATTTTATTTAAAAATCCAACCGATAATAAATAGTAATGCAGCTTATGGACACCTGCAACTCCATCAAATATATTATTCAAACAGAAAAGTGGGTGTTACTTATCCAGATGAATTCCTAACAAAAAAGGAGCCCTAATATTGCAAAACGTAAAAAAGTGAAAAATGCTACTTTTAATTATTTTTAATTTGTGAGATTTGAGTTAAGTATTTTTGGATGAACTTTTCGCTATAATTGGCTCTCGAACCTCGTCTATCAAATGGTAGGATTCGCCTCACATACCTTTATTAGGGAGTAAGTCACCTTTTCTACCTAGGTGTCAACCTGAGTAAGAACTATCCTCTTAAAGCAAGCAGCAATGCGTGCACTGCTGTGCTCGGAAGGAAAAAGAGGAAGAGTGGGGGTTGGGTGAAAGCATAATAGTTTTACTTTTTTTAAAAATGTTGTAAAGTTTATATCCCCCCAGGGATCTTACCACTTGTACGACTAAACCCGTACATTTTTATATGTTAGCGTAATTGGAGCGCGTGCTCGTGTTTGACGTCATTTCAATGCATTGTATACTTATTGTTCTTATAATAAATTCAGTACCATTAGCACGGCCTCACGATAAACAGTGTTTCATTTTGCATCCTACAATATCAGTATTTGAGTGGTACTCCTCAGCAGCATTTAATCTTGCATTGCATTGCATTACATACTTGCATAGTTACACATACACCATAAAAGTGTGATCGTAGATTTTAAATGTTCGTGAATTGCTGCTGTACTGTAAAAATAGATTTTTGCTTGTTACTTGTGTAAGTATTGAATTGGGTAACATCATTAAAAAATACTACCACTAACCATAGGTAGTATTTTTTTATTCAAATTACTAATTACTACATCATACTGGTAGGCGAAATTTAGGGCGGCTCCCCATTAGATGCAAGACAAGCAGCAAGTTGATGGATGCAGGTAGCTCAGGACCGTGCTTTGTGGCATTCCTAGGGGAATTCACAAAGCACGATCCTGCTGCCGTGAGTGAGCCGTGGTAGCTTAGATGGTTAACGCTCTCTGTAAATGTAACAGAACGCGAGTAACCCGGGTTCGATCCCCGCCGGCACCAATGAAATTGTTAATTGCAATTTTAAGTGCTGATTTACCACGTGCTCGGCGGTGAAGGAAAACATCGTGAGGAAACCTGCATGTCTGAGGAATGAGAGAAAAAAAATATTTCGAAGACATGTGAAGTTCGCCAACACGCATTGGGGCAGCGCGGCGGACACTTCCTTGCCCTAAGACCCTCTCAGAAATGAGGGGAGGCCTGTGCCCAGCAGTGGGACGTATATAGGCTGTAACTTTACTTTAGGGGAGGCCTATGTTCAGCAGTGGACATGTGAAGGTATGTAATAATGATGATGACAATGATGACTTGATAAAATTCGTAACATCTAGTTTTATTTAAATAAAACCGGCCAAGAGCGTGTCGGGCCACGCTCAGTGTAGGGTTCCGTAGTTTCCCGTCCGTCACAATAAGTGTTCCCACTTATGAGTTTAAAGGTGGGTATCCATTATGTTCGCGCTCCAGGAGCGCTCCGCGCTCCTGCAACTGCTCCCGGTAGTGGGTACGTGCGCGAACATGGAGCGTGCATCATTGCACGCTCCGCGGCAGGCGCTCCGACTTTCCATCCAAGTTCAAAATGATTTTCCTAGAAAGTCCTTATAAAGTTCTACTTTTCAGATTTTTTTCATATTTTCTAAACTTATGGTTCAAAAGTTAGAGGGGGGGGGGACACATTGTTTTTTACTTTTGGAGCGATTATTTACGAAATTATTGACACTATCAAAAAATGATCTTAGTAAACCCCTATTCATTTTTAAATACCTTTCCAACAATATATCACACGTTAGGGTTTAAATTAAAAAAAAAAATCTCTTCCCACTTTACATATGGGGGGGCTACCCTAATAAAACATTTTTTTCCAATTTTTATTTTACCACTTTGTCGGCGTGATTGATACACATATAGGTACCAAATTTCAGCTTTCTAGTGCTAACGGTCACAGAGATTAAGCGAGGACGGACAGACGGACAGACAGACATGGCGAAACTATAAGGGTTCCTAGTTGACTACGGAACCCTAAAAAGGTATAGTATTGTTACGAGCTTGAGGTTCGTGACAATAAAAATTGCCGATAAAATTACCTAAATTAACACTTTAATTTACTTTACACAAATTAAAACTTAAAACACTAATAATTAAACACACTAATTCACTTTATTCCGCTCCGAAGCTTCGTTTGTCTCGCCAAATCCAATACTGCCCCGATCGCATCTTGCAGCGCCTATATATACAAATTAGCAATGAAGCATCCGGAATATTCAAGTAAATGCGCGCAAAGCGACGAGTGTTCGAGTGTAGATTTTCTAGAAACTTAGTTCTTCGGTTTGAGACTAGATGGCGCTAGTGCCGTCGACTTGAGCGCGTAACACTGCCCCCTCCTAAGACATGCTCGTCCCGAGTATTATCGGCCCCATAATAACGCGCCAAGCGATCCACATGGACGATCTTAGGAGTCTCTCTTGCGCCTTTCTGTAACGGCTCCGCAATGTCAAGGGCTGTCCTATCCCGTGGTGCACCAACATTGTACAATTTCGGTGCTCCTCTACTACGTGTCTGAGGTCCCTGCACGGCCGCTCAACTTGTACATGTACGACACCAACCCTCGACATCGTCACGATAATGGACCCAGTAAAACTGTTCTCGGACCTTCAGCAGAGTTCGTTTAACTCCCAGATGGACTCTTGAGCGACCATTATGGCACAGCTGTAGAACATTCGGCACTTTAGCTTTAGGGACAACCATTTGCAAACGACAGCTGTCTCCTCGACCATTGTCCCATTTACGGCACAGGACTCCATCCAGAATCAGCAAGCTGCCCCATTGGGCCCAATAGCTTTTCGTGGTTGAACTCATCGCTGAGACGTCCCTCCACTTAGGCTTGGTAGCACGGGCCTTCATCCATCCCAGAATCGGCTTGATGTCCGGATCTTCCTGCTGTGCATGTCGTAGACTGTCCTTCCACCCGTTGCTGAGGTGGTCTGTCCTGAGCATCCTCACGGATACCACTTCCTTACTCTCTTGCCTACTACAATGGTTGCAATCTTCAGGACAAGGTCTTCTTGACAATGCATCTGCGTTGCCGTGAGCTTTCCCGCTGCAGTGTCTGATAGTAAAGTCGTATTTCTGCTGCTGCTGGGCGGTGCTGTTAGCCGCACTTCCTTTCTGAGACCGTTCACCTTCCCTTCCTAGGGTATGCTTAGGGCAGCTGGACCGAAGATGGCCCCTTTCCTCACAGCCATAGCGTTACCTAGGCTGTATCCTTTATTGTGGTCGCGAACCGTAACTGCTGCAACCTCCCTAGCGTGAGGTGAACGATGATCCTGTCGCCGCCAGGCAGTGCCAGTGCCGTTAGCTGCACTACCCTCCTGATATCGTTCACTTTCCCTTTCTGCGGTTCACTTAGGGCACCTGGATCGAAGATGGCCCCTTTCCCCACAGCCATAGCACCTTGGGCTGTATCCTTTGTTGCGGTCGCGAACTGTAGCTGCCGCAACCTCCCTGACGCGATGGGAACGATGATCCTGCCGCACGGCTTCCACTTCCAGTGCATGGGCCAAGGCGTCCTTAAGCGTCTCGTGGTGCCCGAGCCTCACAGCAGCTCTGACTTCCAGGTCGCGGATGCCGTCGATGAATGTCTGCACCAGGTTCCCTTCAATGAGCGCAGGTACAGACCGGTATGCTTTTCGCACCAGCTTCTCCACTTCTAGAGCCCACTGCTGCAGGTTTTCGTTGATGCGCTGCACACGATCTTTAAGCTGCGCACGAAAGACGTGTTCCAGGTGAGCGTCGCCATATCTCGCCTCCAATGCCTCAAGGAGTTGCTCATAAGTCACTTCCTCACCGAGAGCTTCCAGAACTGTTAAGGCCTGGTCACGCAGGCCTAGTGTGAGAGCAGTCATGGCCCGATTTTTATTCCAGCCGTTCGCCTTCATAACAGCTTCGAACTGGATTTTGTAGGCTGACCAGGAAGAAGTCCCGTCGAATGGTGGCACCTTGAACCCACGTAGCGAAGGTGTAGTAGCTACTACGGGAGCTGTAGTTCCCTCCCCAAGTTTGAGTTCGTCAAGTGATTTCCTCATGTCAGCCATTACGTTGTCAACCCGATTGTTCACTTGGTCAATTCGGGTTTCAGCTTCCGACAGGCGGTTTTCATGTTGAGCAACCTTATCCTTCACCTCCCTTATCTCTTTCCCGAAGGTAGCGTGAAGGTCCTTCATGAGAAGCATCTGTTCCTCCTGTCGGCGGGCCTGTTCTGCCTGTCCGCCCCGCAGCTGCTCTTCCAACCGACGGACCTGTTCCTCCTGTCGGCGAGCCTGTTCCGCCTGCTGATCTACTAACCGACGGGCCTGTTCATCCTGTCCGCTCTGCAGCTGCTCTTTCAACTGACGGACCTGTTCCTCCTGTCGGCGAGCCTGTTCTTCCAGCTTCTCTTTCAACAGACGGGCCTGTTCCTCTCGTCAGCGCT